CTTTCAGGGCCAGATCCTACCTTTATGACTCTCAATTAGCTCTGAAATGACGTGTTCTTTAATGCATCAAACTGATTAATAACAGTGTGAAATGTGTTGGATGATTATAAGGTTAGGATATTAGCTAGAAATTTCACATCAAATGTTGGATTAAGTAGTACTTCACCTAATATATCTATGGCCATGCCTCTGAAACGAAGTTGCCACTGTCCAAGTTGTTCATGGTGTTCGAGCACTAGGGAGAGCAGATTGTAGGAATAGAATGTGACTAGAGCACCCATAGTTAGGCAAAAGACTCCAGCAACCCAACCCAGCAAAGCAAATGCAAATGGTAAACTCAGAAGCACCAAAGCTACAATCGAAGCTGTTAGATGATATCCACAGTGCACCCATGATCCTGCAATTTTAAACACAAACATGCAAACCCCCTTTAGTCTTCCATGAACTTCCTCTCTCTCTCTCTCTCTCTCTCTCTTGGAACAGTTATGATTCAAGAGGACCAAAGTTAAAAAAAAAAGCTAAAAATCAATATAGAGATGAAAAGGTGAAGATAAGTCCACCTCTCGATTTGAGAACAAAGAGAGATGTTGCGTCAAGATCCTTGTGATGTTGAAGTTGGGCCATGGAAGAAGAATGGTTCAGTCCAGCTTCCATCAAATTTGGAAGTGGAAGAACAGTACTCATCTTTCTCTCCATAGATTGAAGCTTGTAAAGGTGTATGAGACACAAGCACACAAAACAGAAAGAAAAGGAGCTTCACTTATAAGAGTAAGCATGGTCAATGGTCCAGAGCTTCCAAATTCATCAAATACCCACTTATARTCACACTGTTATTGAGTAGTTGTAAGTGTTCATTTAGTGCAGTTGAAACAATTTCTTCGAGGGTACTTGTTTCTAAGGCCAAAAGTAACAGAAGAAACTAAAACGTGAGTCAAAGTGATCATCATGAAATATCTATCATGAAACAACAACAATAGCAGCAAAAGGATGAGGGAAAGCAAGCCAAGTCTCACCATCGCACATTTGAGTGGTTGAAGGAGCTCTCGATTATAGACGTGCCACGGGAAGCTCAATAACATGTCTCTCTCGTGTTTATTCCAATGAGTGCCTTTTATAACTATACCCCACTTTCTCCTAAATTATCCCTTGCTATCTCTAATTCCTATTTATCTCCTAAATTATCTCTAATTCGTATTTATACTCTCCCCCACTTTTCATCTATATCTATCTAAAGAAAGTTTCAATTAAAAAATTTTGCAATTATTTAAATATTATAATGACTTTATGTAATAATGTGTGTGTGTGTGTGTATATATATGAAATTCATAATGAAATTATGTAATAACAATATAAATTATAATTTTATGGATTATTCAATTTAATAACTAAATAATATTTTAAAAATACAAATAAAATTTTATATAAATGTTATTCAAATAACAAAAATTAAAATTAGAAAATAAAATATTATTTATTTCAATAACTAAATATTTTAAATAACAAAATATATAAATAATTGTATAACAAAATATTTAATATTGTGTAATAACTTTAAAAGAAATAAAAAGTAAATATTTTATGTATTATTGAAATATTTAAATAATGAAATATTTAACATAACTAAATTTTAAATAGTTAAAATAATTAAATTATTTAATAATACTATAAATTATAATTTTATGGATTATTAAATTTAATAAATAATGAATATTTTATATTTTAAATAATAGTATTATCTAAATAATTAAATAATRTTATAAATAAATAATTTTTAAATACTTTACATATCAAAGTATTAATAATTGAATCATATTTTATGCATTATTTAAAAAAGGCTAGATTAAATAACAAAATCGTATTATAACTTTAAAAAATTATCAAAAACACAAAAATAATTATAATAGGTTTAATAATATTCGGTAATAACAATATAAAATATAAATAATTGAAAAAAATAAATATTATTGAAATAGTGAAAGTAGAGATTAAATAGATGAAATTAAGAGTGTTCGCTAGGTGGTTCAATTCATTTATAGATTGTTTGGCCAGTCGAATTGATCAATTTGGTCGAGTTGACGAGCTGGTCTGAAACTAACCAACCATTAATGAAAACTAACTCAAGTTGTATTGATCAATGTTTTAAAAAACAACCTAGAGACTGACCTACTTTTGCATCTGGATCACGATYATCCGTTCAATCGTCATGGTTGAAAGGGTTAGACTATTCCACATCAACAACACTCTCTATATTTAATTATACATATATAAATGTGCATATATGTATATATGTGCACAAATACATATTTTATCAACAAATAGTGTATAATTATGTTTTACATATAATATATGCATTATTTTATATTTTTTAATTCATATTTTAAAAATTATGATTTTAGGACAAAAAAGGGTTTTTTTTGTAAAAATAATGGGCAAGGCACACACAACACCTTAGGACAAATAGAAAGTTTGCACATGCATTAAGTATTCAACTTATAACATAATGACCGGGTCAAACAGGTCAACAATTGAACCCTCCAAGTCAGGTGGTTTTTTTACCAAGGGTTTTTGACCGAAAGGTGGGTTTCAATAGAACTAGACCCGGAATCAAGGTCGAGTGACGATTTGAATGGTTCACTAGATTGGGTCAATGGTGGGTTGAAAACATTGGTATCGGTTTGGGCCAGTTTTTAGTTTGGTTAGTCGGTTCAAAAGATTTAAATTTAAAATATTAAATTGCATTTAAAAAATACATTGATATTATTAAAAGAATAAATTTAAAAATTTAAGTTTACAATATAAAATATTTTAAACTAAGAAATATGGGAATTTTCCCACTTTTCTGTTGAAATATATATATAATCAGATCGGTTCAAATTTGRTCAGTTTACAAATGGCTGGGTTGAGAAATTGTTGAACCGAAGTCGACTAGAAATACTAAAAAGTGACCAACTCAGGTCGAGCTAAGTCAATTTTGTCAATTTCATCAGTTTGATGAATATCCATAGCTGAAATTAATTATTATTATTTTCATATTACAAAAAAATATTAAAATAGTATAAAAAATATAAACAGTTATTAATTATTTAAAAATTAAATTATAAAACAATCKTATACTCTTGTGTATTTCTATTATTTAAATTTTGCTTAAAAAAGTCCATGCGTCGCATAGGTCCCTATTAGTAAGAATACTATTATCATGATACTTTTTGTAAAAAAGAGTAAAAAACTTAAAACCCTTTACCCTAACTTATCCCTGGTCTTAAGTCGTGACTACTGAACCCACTTTGCAATTCTAAATATGCCATTTGGGGACGGATTAGTGGGTTTCTTTGAAGTATGGTTTTTATTTTAAAAATACTTTTGTAAGTAACTTGACAAGCTTGTAAATTTTTTTTCCACGGATGACGATAGCTTGTGACAACCATATTCATAGACTACATTTGGCTTCAAAAAAAATTAAAGAGAATTAAAGAAAATTAAAGTGACAGAAAATAGAGGTCCTTATAAAGAAAATTCACAAAACTTTGTGAAGATTTTTCCCAACTTTATATTTCTCTCTGTCAAACAAAAAATAGCCTTCAAGGAAATACTAGAATTTGGTCTTGAACCGTAATTTAAATGGTGTTCTAGAAAATCAAAATCTAAGTCAAATGGCGCAATTAAAGCATAACCTATGTTGTCCTTACAAATAAAAGCCCTCAATTCCATCACAATCCAAAAGAGATAAAAAAAAAAAAAACCACCACTTACTAGTCAATTGGTCAACCGTGGTGGCTATAATAGGGGTCCCACATGTTACCATGTGTGCCATTTGACATTAATCTGTTGGAAGTGGCATCTCATGTAAGGTCACTTCATGAATTGTAACCCCAAAGACCAAGTTTGATTTGGCAAAATATAAGAGAGGAAAAGAAAGATGAGGGAAAGTTTTGAATTTTGGGTTATTTTTAGTACAGTCCAAACGAATGAAACAAAGGGATAAAGTATGTGTTTGATTGTGTGAGTGTCATGGGGTATTTTTAGATAAACATTTAATTGAAAAATGTTACTTTAAACACTTATTGTTTTTATTGTTTGGTTGGGTATTTTATGGGCGTTTCAAGTAACATCCCATAAAGCTATCATCCACCTCAGCTTACAATGCTCCACGTAAGCATTTCATTTCAATAAACCTTGGAGTGTTGGGAGAAACCTGAATTTGAAGCTTCCCCCAATGCCTCAAGCACATAAATCCAAGTGTTTCTGTTTTTTAATATTTATTTGATAAACATTGAAACCAAACAGTGGTTTCATGCTGATGTGGTGTTTTTCCAAAAAATGCCCACAGGACCAAACATAGCCTCTTTAGAAAATTAAACTGGACAGTCAGTTTGAGCGGTGACCCCTGGCCCCTAGTTGGTTTGATCATACTCTTAAAACCAAAAGTTATAAAAAACTGACTGAAATTGTTGATCCAAACGATTCAATTGGAAGATTAGTGAATCAGTCCTAGTTTTAGAAAATGAGCCAATTTTTTGATTTTTTTTTAAACATAAATACAAACTTCAGGAGGTCATAACTTTACGGTTGGATGTCCTTTGTAATTAGAACCCTTGGGCTCTTTTTGGAAGGAGTACAAATACAAATACATACAGTACAAATATATACAAAGTAATACAAAATGTAAGGTTTTGCAATCCCAAACTGAGCCTTAAGTTAATTGAATGAAAAGTTTGGTTTAAAGTTTCTTGGATAAGAGTATATCTTCTTTCTCTCTGTTGGTGCAATGCTTCTTCACTTTTTTTTTATCATTCTTTTCTCTTGCAGATGCTCTTTGTTTCTTAACTGGTCATGTGCACATTGTAAATGTACTTTAGGCTCTCCTTGAATGACCCTTTAAAACTTACATAAATGTTAACTTCTAGGAGCCCATCATCCCCTTATCACCACTATTCAAAGTTGTGTTAGCACTGAGAAATTAGGGGTAAAGAAATGAATGCACAAAAAAAAACATGTTTTGAGGATTAAAATCAAATACATTATTGATTAAAGATGATGGTAGAAATGCTAAAAGAAACTGAAACACAGAATTTAATAACTAACTCAGAACTTTAGTGCCCATCAACTTATTGATAAACTTTGAGGTTAAGCCAACTAAACTAATGAATCAGATTACATATCCTTGGTAATAATCTAGGTCTTTGTACTGAATGCATGTCCAATCTAAGCCTTCTAAGGATAAAAGCACATATAGCTTCATTCACCCTTCCATGAAGATGGATCTGGTGTCTCCACTCCTACTGTAGTATATGAATTGTTTGGGTATCGGTCACCTTTAACATCTGATGAAGCTAAAGACTCAAGTTCAATCATTTCTTCTGGAGTTAATTTTATGGATAAAGCTCCAATGTTTTGGTTGAGGTTTCCAATCTTGGTGGTGCCTGGTATGGGACAAACATCACTTCCTTGATGATGGAGCCATGCCAATGCAAGTTGAGATGGAGTGCATCCTTTTCTTACAGCAATATCATTTACCTTCTCAAATACATAGTTGTTATGATCAAGATTCTCAGGCTGGAACCTTGGTAGAATCTGCAACACGTGTAGTGTATTGACATTTGAGTGATATAAAGTTACAGAAAAGAACATGTACACACGCATATATGGAAGAAGATTTAACCAATTGTTATTGAATCTACCTTTAAAAAAAAAGGTTAGGAGGACATTTAAAATTAAAAGCACTAACTTCCAAAGTTTTTAAAAATTTTCAGCTATTTGAGGAAAGGGTACTTTGAATAATTTAAGGAATTTTTTTTCATATCATGAAATATAGAATAAAAGGAAAATTTGACACTCAGAACAGTATAAAATAAGGTTAAGGTTTAAGAAACGAAAAAAATTGTGAAAATAAAAAAATATAAAATGAAATGCCTATTTTGGAGTAAAGAAGCAAAGTCATTGCTCATTACTGTTTGAATATGTATCAAGTTCCTATGTTTATGGTGTCACCTTTGTTTGCTTAGTAAGTGGCATCTTCCAAAGAACAAATCCTTTGATACGTATAATGTATAGATACATCTAGAACATTTTAATTATCTTACATAGGAACATGAAAAATTTTAGTTTATTTTGAGTTTGTTAAGGTTAATCTAAAATGTGATCTAGATAAGTTACCACTATATTAGACCCTATACTTCCATTTGTGATACATTCTAATGAAAATGCAAAAAAAAAAAAAAAATCAATACCATTTATAATACTACTACAACAAATCAATGTTTTTTGAATTGAAATGCATGAATGAGAAAATATATACAAACCTTCCGGAAGTCCTTATCACCAAAATTTTCAACAACCTTAGGCCCTGATGAAAAAAAGCCTCTTCCTAGAGGACTGTATGCGACAATTCCTATACCAAGTTCTCTGAAATAAAGTTGAAATTAGAACCATGTATGCAATAATATCTTATCCATGCAGGGTTGGTATATTTATCTCACCTACAAGTAGGAATTATCTCTTTCTCTGCATCCCTTGTCCATAATGACCACTCTAATTGCACAGCTGTTATTGGATGCACAGCATGTGCTCTTCTGATTGTTGAAGCAGAGGCCTCAGATAGTCCTATATATTTTATCTTTCCCTCTGCAATTAATTTTTTGAGCTCTCCCATCTTATATAGAAAATGGAAAATTGTGTTAGAAAGAAAACAATTGCTAATGATATCAAAATTTCTGTTAAAGAAAGAAAAATAGAACATTGGGTCAGTATCTTGCAACTTGAGCAATTACAACAAAAAATGATGTAATCCAAGCAATTATGACTTGATCCCCACCACCAGTGTACCCACCTAGGAAATTTTCTAAAAAGATCATGATAATTGATGAAGTTAACCATTCAATGGTGGATTCACACACATCTTCTTTAAGCTTGTTCAAATACAGGTAAAGCAAAGTTTAATTGTAGCATCTTCTTTAAAAAGAAAAGGCAAGAGAGACACTTGCATATGAATATTGTGTAATAATTATAACAAGTTTGAATAAGAAAATAATTGCTCTGATTTTATCCACTGTTATTGTTCTTAATGAGTTCATATCTGCTGCAATCAATTATACAGGATATGTGTGATTGGCCAATAATATAGAACACCTTATCTGCTAACATAAAGTTCAATGGAGTTCTAAACTGGAAGCAAGATACCAAAATTTTCTATTAAATTATATCCTCTATGGTGGTAGTCGCAAATTAAAATAAATCAGCTAAAGAAAAGGATTCAATTCAATTTCCTTCTTTTTTTTTTTCTTTTTTGCTTTTATAGTCACGGACCTTTTTCTATTTATCTTTGGCTACTTCAACAAAATTTAAAACCGGTAGCCATGGTTTCAAGACGCACGTGCTCTGTGGGTGGGTATATCCATTTACTTTAGTTGAATGCCACGTGTAAATGTATGTGCAGGAAAGAAGAAATATTAAAAGATTTAAGAAGTAGAAAATAAGTACATGTTTGCAATCCAAACGGATTGGCCAAACCGTCTTTGAAGACGGTACCCTCCTCGAACACCGTCATCTTGTGTGTGCATCCTGTATTCGTGTGGATAGAAATCGTTTCTTTTCATTTTTCCATGGAGTTTGACCTATCTCTCTCCCTCTCTCTCTCTCTCTTCTCTGAAATCTCAATTCCCAAATCACGACTATGCGTGCTCTCTGTTAGCCATCAAAATTCTAGCTATTCGTGGCAGTAGGAATTAGAAAACTGACTCACCGTGACTTCAATGGGAACTTGGGCATCGATCCGGTGCTGATAATAGAGATCGATACAATCGACTTGAAGCCTCTTCAAGCTGTCCTCACAGGCTGCCCTCACATACGCCGGATCCCCTCGAATATCTACCTTCCAGTCGCCGATGAAGTTTATCCCGAACTTCGTTGCTAACTCAACCTTCTCTCTCATCCCTTTCAGAGCCTGTCCATATTCCAGAATAATCAACAACAACAACAACCAAAAAAAAAAAAAAATCAAAACAATTAGAAGCAGAAAGCATACCTTCCCAAGTAGAATTTCGTTGGTGAAGGGGCCGTAGACGTTGGCGGTGTCAAGGAAGGTGATGCCATTGTTGATGGCATGGTGGATGAGAGCGATCATGTCTGCTTCTGGCTTCGGAACGCCGTACGAGGCGGACATGCCCATGCAGCCCAATCCCTGGGCCGACACCTCTAGTCCTTGAGAACCCAACTTCATTCTTCCAACACTTCCCATTCCGACGACTCAATCCGACAACTTCCTCTAGCTGGGTGGGCACTGAGACTCTGCTCTGAGTCTGTGAGTCTGATCTCACTTATTTCCGTGGTTTTAATTTTCTATCCCAATATATATGCCGAACTCCTCTATTCCCATATTGTTCCATATAATTTGGGTATGGGCCTGATTCCAATCTGACGTTAAAAGAGAGTCCTTACTTGAATCATATCCCGTGGGCCATAGAAAATGACAAAAGATTAAGAGATAAAAGTTTAACGTAAGCGCCAACGTCTGCGCTTGGAAATTCATGTGTTCCAACTAAAATTTTGACCGTAAATTTAACATAGTGGAAAAGGATTTCAGGAAGTTTTATTTATAAATAAAATTGAAGATGTAGCTTTATCACATTTCCAATTAAGTGGTGTTCATTTAATTTCAACTCAAGTATTACGACTGCGCTTGGAATTTCATGTGTTCCAACTAAAATTTTGACCGTAAATTTAACATTTAAAATTGGAGATGGAGTTTTATGAAATTTCCAATTAAGTGGTGTTTATTTTAGTTAATTCAAGTATTCTTTTTTGGGATTATGTCTAGTTTATCCAATCACAATTTAAGTTGTATTTTAGTGAGATTGTCTAATTTTCTATTATCTAGATAAATTTGAAAAAGAACTTTTTTTTATTAATTTTTATTGGTTTATTACTATTTTTGTATTATTTTTAGGTAAAATTATAGAAAAGCATATGCTTAAAACAATTTTGTAAACCACCTTTGTGTTTTGACCCTAACAAAGGCCTCTTTTATAGTTTTGAGAAAAAAGTGCAAATACCTCCTTTCTCTTAGCTTTTCGATAACAAAGACATTGAAGTATTATCATTGCTAATACATTATCATACATAATTTAAAGTTTCTACCTTACTCTTACTAATTTATTTTTTCAACTAAATTTCAAAGAACAATTCTCCTTACTCTTCTTGGACAAAATAAGATAAAAAGGCTGAAGTGAAGTAGAATTAATGCATTACATCAACATTTTTTTATTTGGAATGCTAACGAAAGAAAGGCATTTGCATCTTTTCTCAAAACAATAGGGGAGGTTTTGTTAAGATCAAAACACCAGGGAGCTTTATACGATTGCTAGAAAACCCAAAGAGGTTTTTATACTTTTCTGTATTTTTAAATGAATTTAAATTGATTTTAAAATAATTAAACTATATTTAAAATTAATAATTTTTAAAATTAGTAAAAATTGAATTTATTTAAGTGTATTAAGTTTTTATTAAATTTAAATTCCTTATGAAATTCATATAAATTTTTATTTTCAGTGGAACTTAAGTTAATAAAATTTAATTATAAAACTAATAATTGTTTGATAATTTTGTATTTGTTTTATATTAATTTTAAATTGATATTAGTTTTTTATTTATGTTATTCATTTAATTAATTAAATTCTTTTTATTATATTTGTAGGTACATAGTGATTGCACAAACCATCAAAGTACAAAAGATACCAAATTGATACCACATGGACGCCTGCTATGAGTTCATAACTCAACAGTTACTTGTGATGAGCTTATAACTCATCGAACGTCAGCGATGAACATATGACATAGCGCACATTCGTGATAAACTTTTACCCAACACAACTCAAGATAAACCTTAGCTAATATAAACCCATGACGAAGTTCAGATGCACACGGTTTTGTAATAAACTTTGAATGTGTGCAGCTTTGTGATAAACCTCGAATACACACGGTTCTGTAAAGAACTTCAGATACGTGCGGTCTTGTGATGAACCCAAAATCATTACAGAACCACGGGTCACTATGAACCGAAGTTAAATATCGGCTACACATGCAACTTTTAAGTTACGCATGTGATAAGGCACCACGTAGGTTAAGTAAAAATGCGTCCGCTAAGCAATGATGTCACTAGCGCTATGTTGGTTAAGTAGGTCATGAAAGGAAGTAGCACACACGGGTTATGAAAAGCCTCAGACGAAAGGAAAGTTCATCCTTGAGAGATCTCATAAGACGTGTGGCAAAACCCTAGTAGTGCTCTTTAATGACCGACAACAAATCTAATATTCCTTTTCCTAATGGGAATACACTTTTGACTCCTTCCTTTCGAGTATTTGGGATCCCTTCTTATAAATGAGGGTCCTTCTCATAGCGGATTCATTCATTCAATCATAGGATCATCCACTCACTCTACTCGGCCGTCTCATCACTCCCATTTCCCCCAGCTTCCCAATTGACTCCTTGCGTCCAGTCTTCCTTTGCCTTTCAAGGTTACCACTCCCACGTAGCTTGACCCCCTTACTTACATTAGAATATTTGGTTTATCCTTGATCACGAAGGATGGCCACCCGTAGAATCAACCTTTCACCCATCCCTGAAGATCACAACAACATCCCGGAGAATACCATTCCAGAGGATGGAAATCAATATGAAACAGAGATGGTAGACCAGGTCGACATTGAGATCTTGTTAAACAATGTCTATGAGTTTGAAGCTCGATTCGACCGAATAGAGCAGATGTAGAATGAAACAAGGGCTTCCCTACAGATCCTCCTCCAACAATCGACCTAGATCGAACAATCCCCCTTCACCCGGACCGCCGCTCCTGCAACCGTCCCCACCAGCCATCACCCCTCCAACCCTAACCCCACCATACCGAAGCAGCCTACCAGGACTAACCCGGTACCCATGCAGGCCAGCCAACCCACCATAGGGCAGTCTAGAATCCCCCCTCAGGTGGACCCAATGGCAAAAGTCCCGCTTAGCTGGGATGAACTAAGAGAGTATGTTCAGGGACTGGTGGTGGAGAGCCGAAACCAAGCTCAAGCTTCAGTCATTTTGCAAAAACCCTACTCTGACCGGATCTTACATAAGCCTTGCCCTRCTGGCTACACTCCTCCCCAATAGTGGTCGTAGTACGACAAACAGAAAGGGAGCCCGCAGGAACACGTGAATAAGTTCAAGAATGTCCGCCCTGGGATCCTTCGCTCTCGATGGGGATGTGAAGATCTGCAAGTTCTCCAAGTCTCTGATGGGGCCGGCGTACACTTGCTTTGTTAACCTTACTGCCGAAAGCATTGACTCATGGGCCGAATTGGCCAAGAGATTCCTATCAAAATGGTTCACCTTAGAGAGGAAGTTGACGATGGCCAACCTATGTAACACAGAGCAGTGCGCAATGGAAGAGCTCCTGACCTACGTCATGAGGTTTTAGAAGTTGACACATTCTGTCTTCGACGAGCACGCCACTAAGAAAAACTTCATCGAGCAATGCGTATAAGGGGTGCAGCCTGCCTACTGGATAGGCATTGAAAATGTAGAAGTCAACACACTCAGTCAGTTGTGGAGATGCGTGGAGAGAACGATGCGCATGGTTAGGAATACTTCATCCCAGTCTATGCCAGTTTTGGGACAATATGGAAGGAACGAGGCCTATGTAGTTGATCGGAAGCCTCGTAACAATGGAGGGCCCAGGCAGGGGTCCTATTACTGTAACAACCCCAGGGCAACAGGAGTAACTTGTTGATCCCTCCTCCTTTTCCCTACACCAAGGAGGAGGTAGCGAAGATCATGAACAAGTTGGTCGAGGACAGGGTGATCAACCTACCACCACCACCACCACCGGGACTTGACCCGAAGAAGGAGAGGCGCGGAGGAAGATGGTGCAACTTCCACCAGTCGCCACATCACAATTTAATGGATTGTTTTTCCCTAAGGAGACTATTCTTACAGAAGGTAAAATTAGATGACTTTATAAAAGGGAACCCAACGCAGGTAGAAACCAACTCCCTCCCAACTCACACTCAAGGGGGAAGTATTAATGTAGTTGGAGCACCGGGCCAGTATTAGCCTGATAAGCTGATAGAAAGATTCGAACAGAGTCCGAAGCTCGAACAGTTTTTCAACAGACAGGGAGCTAGTACCAAAACGAGGAGGTTGGCCATCAGAACATTGGCAGAAGCATTCAAAAGGTCACTAGAGCTGCACCGACCTTACCGAACTAGCATAGAGTTCACGGAAGATGACATGCTAGCTACTGACCCCCCACCACAATCGGCCTTTGTACGTCATAGCAAGGGTGGAGGTCTTCAAGATGAGAATGTCTATGATTGACCCTAGGAGCTCTATGAACCTGATTTCCGTTCAAACATTAAAACTGATGAACATATAGAAGGAGACTGTTAAATGTTTGCCCATGGAGGTCAAGGTAACGCGTCTATCACGGAGGGGTCCATCGAGATACAAGTTGCAATCGGGTCATTCTCCATCATGTAAGAGTTTCAAGTGATCTCAGGGAAGACCACCAATCATACCCTGCTGGGGTGACTATTGATACAAGGTCTGGCCCTGGTCTCGTTAATGTACCATCAATGCATAAAGGTCAAGCACAAAGGACGTGTAATAAGGATTCCGATGACCAAAGTCCCTTTTGACAGGTTAGAGACTCACTTGCAAGATGTGATCTACTGTACAGAGCTAGCCAACGAAGGTGAAACAAGAATAGCCATAGTGGAGGGACTGCAATTATCGAGCCTTACGCAGAGCAAACCTTCAGCGATGCTGGAAAAGAAGAAGAGGACTAGATGTGTGCAGATGACGGTGACGATGGAAAGAGCTATTGCACCATCGTTGCGAACTACGAGGATGAAGAATTGTCGGCGACCAAAAAGGCCATCCCTAAGGTATGATTTTATTATTAACTTCAAGGTATGATTCATCCTATGATATTCATGTTGTGTCTACTAGAATTTTTTGCGAGATGTAACTGTTAAGCGGCTTTGCCAAAAACTTATATATGTTCTAGCCATATGAGTATATCATCTGCAAAACATGAGCTCTGAGTGGAACAATCGTAACTTTATCTTAATCATGATTGCAAACAATGTTTCAACCATAACTATTTCATTGGACCTTTTTCACAAAAGAACATCATGGTGGTCACATCACAGAAAGACACATCGCAACTCAAACAAGAACCACATACATCAAAGGTATAATGCTAAAATATGTTACACACATAAATAATGATCAATTTGAAATATTAAAACCTACTCACGATAATAGGAACAGAAGGGAGAAACTATAGA